TTGTTTTTTTTTTTTTTGTACCAGGGATCAAACTCAGGACCGTGCAAGCAGCAGGCAGAGGAACCACTGAGCTAAATCGCTGGCCCTGTTTTGTTTTGGGTACCAGAAATCAAACTTGGAACCTTGCCCTCGTGAGACAGACAGTGGAACCACTGAGCTAAATCCCCAGCGCCTCTGTTATGTTTTTTAAAAAAGGATCTTGGCTGGGGGCGGGGGGAGAAAGAAAAGAAAAGAAAGGATCTGGGGAAGTTGTCCAGGCTGGCCTTGAACTCGAAATCTTCCTGCTTCCACCTCCCAAGCAGCTGGGACTACAGGCGCATTCCGCTACAGCCAGCTTACAGTCACCTTTCACAGGTGAGGACACTTAATAACTGTAAGCGAATCATAACTTTAGCAAAAGGAAGGGGTACCTCAGGTAACCAGACAGTTCTGACTCTCACCGTTACCAAGGGATTGTGGTCACCAAGGGTGACTGAACTCACTTTGGCTTTCCACAGTTCCCACGGGAACTGCTCAGACCGCGTCAGACACTAAACCTCTAGGCGATTTAGCTCAGTGGCACCACACCTGCCTTGCAAGCGCAAAGTCCTGAGCTCGATCCCCGTACCAAAAAACAAAAAACAAACAAAAGATGAAGAAGTGAATGAATGAACAAATAAACGCCTCCACATACAGTCAAACGTTGCTTAACAACAGGGACAAGGAACAAGACATGTGTTGTTAGGCGATTTTGCTACTGAATGAGTATCACAGAGTGTGCTTATACAGTAGACAGCTACAGCACTAGGTAATGGCAATTTTCTTGGGCCAGCATTATATACTCAGGTCACCACTGACCAAATGTTTTTATGAGGCCCGTTATCGGATCCTGGAAGCTGTACCAAACGTAACTAAAAATGAAACTTCATTTGTCTATAATAATTCAATGAGAAGTGACACCCAAAATTAGGACCATGAAGAAGTTAAACATCCTGTATCACAGCAAAAAGAAAGGGGAAACACATTCAGGCTTAACTGTATAATCCTGCACAGGGAACAAATAATCGCATAGGTTGAAACAAAGCAGGATTTCTGCTTGCCCTGGTGCTAAGCAAAAAGACCAGCAAATGGCAGTGGACCCAGACATGGTGTCCTGGGGGCCACGGCCCCATCACTTGGGTGGAAATCCACCTGACCTGCCCATTGCGATGCTGCCCCTAACTGCTTTGTTTAGAGTACCGCTGCTTGGTGTTAGGGAATCACGCCAAGGTGGGCATGAGAGCTGAAGAAACAGGAGCCCACTAAATCACTCAGGGCGTAGAGCACACCCAAATCGGGGTTCGTGCCATGGATTCTGAGAATCACTAATGGCTCTAATCTAACTTATTCAAGATTTATCTAGGATTTTTTTTTTTTTATATGGGGATTGAACTCAGAACCTGGAACTGTGCTTGCAAGGCAGGCAGCAGCACCACTGAGCTAGATCCCCAGCCCTTATCTGGGACTTTAATAGCTAACTTCTTTTTCTGGGATAATGATCATAGATACAGTCTGTTTTAACCTGGTGGGGTGGTGCACACCTATAATCCCAGCACGAGGAGGCTGAGGCAAGAGGATCGCCAGGAGTTTGAGGCCAGACCGAGCTTTATAGTGAGTTCAAGGCCAGCCAGAACTACAAAGTGAGACCTTGTCTCAAAAAACCCTAAATAAATAAATACAATCTATCTTACGCCATATCTCATTTTTGCTTCCAAGTTCCCAATGAGATTACTCTACTGAACTCCAGTGAGGACTGTGAGGGATGCAGTCTATACTCCTGTTAGATGGTGTTGGGCTCACTGGCAGAGGCATGACTAGGGATTAGGTGAGAAACAGATGGAATGTCTTTTTTTTTCGAGACAGATTCTCGCTCTGTAGTTCAGCCTGGTCTTGATATTGCTGCCTCGGCCTCCTGAGTGTTGGGGGAATACCATTTTATTAATGGGCAGAATAAATTCTCTCCAGGGTCCAGGCATGTTGGAAAAAGCAGCAGCGAAGATTTAACTGATCATTCAACAACCACTGAATATTCATCTCTGGTTCCCAGGACAGCACTGTCCCAGTGCAGGGGTCACCCTGCTCACTACCGCACTCCACACTGAGCCAACGCCCAGGCAGCCTCTCAGGTTCAGTGGAGCAGACAATAAACTCAGGCTCTCTCAGACAAGACTGTGCTCTCTGTGCGCTGTACTGGAAAAGGAAAGGGGCGTACAGAACAGGGAGATTCTCAGGGAACACGAGTGTGCCTGGCAACCCCTCCCTGCTATGATCAGAAGCTGTCAGGAGTGACCACAGACGGCAGGGCTAACCATGACATGGCAGGCGTCGAGCCTGAGTGAGCGACAACAGTCTTCAAAGCACCCGACCTGGCCCCATTTCCATGCTAGGGTTATTTATCTAAGAAATACACCATCAAAACAGCGGACTTTTAGACAGACCTGACTGGACAGGAAGCCACGACCTTTCCCAGCCCAACAATAACACAAGATGGGAAGGACAACCAGTCCTGCAGCCTGTGACATGCTCTTCAGCATGAGGCAGCCTTCTGGGTCCCGGAGGCTGGCCTGGCCCCGCAGGACGGACGCCTGCTCGGTCAAAGCATGCTGCAGCGTGCCCGGAGACGGAGACAGGCAAGGTCATGCACGGGTTAGTATCACAGAGGGGAGGGCAGGGCCATCACCACAGACAGAGTACCTGGGAACAACCTACTTTGAGGACTCAAATGCAGATAGGTCTTCTGCCTTGGGCTTGAGGCTAAACCAGCAAAATAAAATGAAGAAAAACAAAAACACACCCTGTGATATCAACAATGTCACATGTGCCATTTGCAAAACGCTCAGACAGGCCTGAAGTTGTGACGAGTGACTTGCTTGTTTTTATGACTTGAAAATATGCCACCCGTTGGCAGAGTTTCAGGTTCCCGTGGCTGAGGGTCCGACTCACCACCATAGCAGCAGTGGCAAAGAGAAGGCTGCTCCTGGTGCCCGGGGTGATGAGGGGCAGGGGTAGGGGCTGGAAGTATCTCCCTGGAGGGCTGACCAGCTCACCGGCCCAGCCACGGTTTTATCTCTGTTTAATGAGGGAGGCCTCCCTTTAACTCCCCTCTTGCTAATGAGTAACTTTGTTTTGGAAGGGAAACCCAGGAGATGACAGAAGCCAGAGGTACAAAGAATACAGAGTTCGCGAAAGCCTTTCCTTCTAAGTCTTGCTATTAAAAGGAATTCTCTACCCACTGCCAACTGTAACTACAGTCAAGAGGAAAAGTGGGAGTTCCCTATTGTACCCATCAGTAATGGGTAAGGAGGCACAGATTTCTAGTCACAGCTTAGCCACTGACGAGAGTTCTTGAACTAGGAGACCATTTTAAAGACTAAGGGAAAGGGTAAAAACTGAACCATATCAATTGCTACCTCAACTCAATCTAAATAACACTTCTTTTACAAGTGTAACCTGATCCCTGGCTATCAGCTAAAAGCAGAGCTTCACTTGGCCAGAAAGAACCTTTCCACGCTCCCCAAATAAAAGATTTATACTCTTGGACTAATAATGGGTATAAAATTTAACTTTAACTTGTCAATCTTTAAAATGTCAACAGCTCTAAATACCAGGAGGGAAAGGTAGGATACTGTGAGGCTCATTAATGAAGACTCAGTTTTTAAAAACATCAAGGTTCCCCTAGATATTTTTATACTTTGAAGTATGAAAAAAGCTGAAAATTTAAAATATGGTTTCTTAATCAAGAACAAGATTTAAGTCTCTGCCACTTAAAAACACAAAAGGAAGTTGAGTGAGGTGGCACATACCTATACAAGGTCTCACTTGCCTGGTAGTTCAGGCTGGCCTTGAATTCACAGGGATACTCCTGCCTTAGCCTCCTGAGTGCTGGGGGAATATCATTTTATTAATGGGCAGAATAAATTCTCTCCTGCTACTAGTGCTAGTGGTGGTGGGGATACCGAGACAAAAGGATCCCACATTCAAGTCCAGCCTAGATGATTTTCTCAAAATCAAAAAAATTTTTTTTTGTACTGGGGATCGTACTTGGGTCCTTGTCTTGTGAGGCAGGTGGCAGAAACACTGAGCTAAATCCCCAGCCCTCTCAAAATAAAATTTTGAGCTAGAAGCTGGGGGTGGTGGCATACACCTGTAATCCAAGCACTCCGGGAGAGTCATGAGTTCAAGGCCAGCCTGGGCTATACAGAGTTCATGGCCAGTGTGGGTTATATAGTGAGACCTTGTCACAATAAAAGAATAAATGAATGAATAAGCAAATTAAAAAAAATTTTAAATGGGTTGGAGATATAGCTTAGTATGTGTGAGGTCTTAGGTTCAATCCCATTAGTACAAAAAAAGGAAAAATAAACAGATACAGAAAAACAAAAACAAACCAAACCATAAAGACTACAGGGGACTCCATTATCAGAGGCCTCCTCTTCATCATGCCTTTGCATTAAGCAAGGCGGTTCCCTGGGCATAACTCCCCTTGGCTTAAAAGACAGAACTGCTTTAGTGCTCAATGATGGATCAAAAACTGTGCTCCAGCAGGGATTCATCTCATCAGAGCTTTTAACACAGCCCACTTCCATCAAGCCAATGGGCTCGCGGTCACTGGCAGATTAAATTTCCTTTCTGGCAGGAGCTGAAAAATTTCCTCAACTAAGTACGTGTAAAAAATGACAACAGTCTAATGACTCGGCTCCTGAGGAAACCAGATGCCAACCTCACATTTCATTAAGGAATGTCCCCATCAGCGAAAGCTAAGAGACTCCAAGTACCTTTTTAATCGTATTGTGCTTGCTGCTGGTGCCACCCCTGTCCGAGTTCTCGTTGTGCAGAATGTCCAAAGCGGTCTCCCGCTCTTTTAGTTTCAAGGCCTCAATTTCCGTCTTCAGCTCGTTCAGCTGCTCCTGTAGATGCTTGCTCTTCTCCATGTATTCCACTCTGCGGCAAGAGGACACCACGTATCAGGGCTCAGGCAGGCAGAGGCACGGTTGAGGGCTCCGCGACCCACACACACTCAGTGTGGAAGCCAGTGGCTGGGACTCGGGTTTGTATCTCAGCCTGGCCACTCACAGGCTGTGGGAGCCTGGGCTGGCCATTTAACTGCTAGGAATCTCTTTCCTCACTAACGATTACAGGACTGCGGTCAGGACGAAAGTAGAGGGAAGCCCTCTGTAAAATCCCAGAGTACTTAACAAATCCCAGCTGCCACAGGTAACTTTTAGTTCTGTACACAACAGCATATGAGGACCGGGATTTAGCTCAGCGGTTCGGTGACCTGCCTCGCAAGCGCAAGGACCCGAGTTCGATCCCTGGTACCAAAAAAAAAACCCCAACACAACAGCATATGAAATAAGCCTCCTGGCACCCAAAATAATGTCTTCGTCTTGGCCTTTCTTGGAGCTGTAATTCAGATGCCCTCGTCTGACAGCTCAGGTCCACAGTCCCACTTGTAGTGGGACTCAAACCTCATATCCTACAGGTGACAGAAGCTCACGCAAGCACAACGGGAAGGAAGAGGTGCCCCTCTCACCTGCAGGTAGAGGCACTGAGCAACGGTAACTATCGTGGTGACAATCTGGAAGCTGCCTGTGGAGTTTCCAACTATGAGGGCATGGCCAGGAAGACAACGCAACACAAACACGAAGGAACCTCTGCGGGCAGGAGCGTGGCTGTGACATGGACTCTGCCAGCACGGGCAAGAGAAGTGAGTGCTGTGAGCTGAATGCCTGTCGCTCCCCAGAGTTCATACCACCAACGTGAAGGTGCCCTAGGGTGAAGCCTTTGGTCATAAGGACAGGACCCTCATGAAAGAGCTCCCAAAGGGACCCCTCGCTCGTGAGAGAATACCACAGGAAGGCACTGTCTAATAAACCAGGATGAAGGCTCTCACCAGACTGAGTTTGACAGTGCTTCCATCTTGGATTTCTAAAAGCATGAACCATGAGAAATAAGCATCTATTGTTTGTAAGCCACCCAGCCACTGGTATTGTGTTACAGCAGTCTGAACACGCGCAAACACGAAGATCCAAACTACAACAAAGCGGGACACGAATAGGATGCAGTCGCACAACGATCAGAACCCCATACCTATGCCTGTGTGGACAAGGATGGCAGGAACTCAGCAGATGCTACCACCAGTGGCTCTAGTCCACCCGCTTATCGATGCCCTCCGTATGAAGGCCTGAAGAGAAACACAGCCTGTCTGCGGCAGCCCAGGCTGGACCCCACGGAGGCACTTTCCCAGAGGGTTATCGGGAGGTAACCACACAGGGAGAGGGGTTTCGACCCCTGGGGGCTGCTCTGTCAGCGGTGTCATGTTGAATGATCTCACTGAACTAAATCTGTGTTCTCACTTGTAAAACAGAAACACCACAGCTAGGCATGGTTGTGCACGCCTATGATCCCAGCACTCTGGAAAGCTGAGGTAGGAGGATCCTAAGTCTGAGCCCAACCTGGGCAGCTTCGTGACTTAAGAAGACCCTGTCTCAAAATACAAAAAAATAAAGGGACTGATGTAGTGCAGTATGAAGGCCTTTCGTTCAATCCCCAGTACAGTACTGGGGGGAAAAGAGGAACACTAAAACCTACTTTTGATATCAGTGTTCTATTTGTTAGTAGGAATTCAATGAGACAAAAGCCAAAACACTCTAATGTATGGGGTATGTTACATGCTAGCTACTATGACTGTTTCCTGACAGCTGTGGCACCATGAATCAGTTCACCTCTGGTTCTGGGAATGGGGGGCCGTGACTAGCCTTCCTCTGCGGAGGACTGTGGCCATCTCTGACTACACCTCCACGGACCGTGAAGGCAGCCCAGGCCGAGCCAAGGCTCTGCGCAGGGCTGCCTGACACTGCAGACCCCCCCACCCGGCCACTGGCTTTCTCGGCCTCAAGCCCGTTTCTTCTGTCCCACCTTTGTTCTAGACACAGGAAGCACCACAGATCCCACCTGTCAGGGAACGTGACCAGGAGAAAACTGCAGTTCAGTACGTGGGAACAGCAGCGTGACTCACTGCAAGGCCCCTGACAACCTGGTTCCATTCTTCAGGCAGAGTTCTGAGTCACTGTGAACTCCAGGCCACCGAGCAAATGTCATTTTTATCCTGGAGCATTGACTGCTGATCTACTGTCTTCAATTTCTAATTAGAAACCATGTCCTCCAGTGGGTGATACCTAAGTAAACCACTGCAGGAGCTAGGGACAGGCCCCTCTGTCATGACCCTTTGTATGTCCAGACACAGATCCGTTCCTCATTCATACTCCCAGTGGCCCTGCGCAGGTCGCAAGGGACTACATACTTTTCTTTCTCTATTTCCATGGAGAGCCGCTTCATGTCAGTATCCTTGAAGTCAAAAGACAGGCTGTCGCCAATGAGGTTGAAGCTTGGTATATCAGGAGGCATTGGTGCTGGGATTGGGTTCACCGGCTGCCAATGAGAAAGCTCAGAATTACGAGATTCAGGTTTCATAGGAACATTCCCTCCATATTCAAGGCTGTGCGGGTCAAGAGTCCTAAAAAAGGAAACACTAGGGCCGGGGATTTAGCTCAGTGGTTCCGCTGCCTGCCTGGAAAGTGCAAAGCCCCGAGTTTAATTCCTGTACCAAAAAAAAGGAAACATTAAAACTTTGATGTCAGCGTTACATTCACTAGTTAGTAGAAATAAAATGAGACAGAAGCTTAAAAACCCCAACATAGAGGCACTGCCTGTGGTAGCTACTGTGATCGATTCAAAATCTAGTCAAAGTATTTGTCTTCCTACAAATGTAACCTTTTTTCACGCTCAATCAAATCAAACACAAACTCCCACTCACTTTTTCATTTAGCAAATTCTCATTTCCTGCACTAGGAGGTAGAGAAGCAGACAAGACAGGTCTCTGGCTCTGAACAGCTAAAAGTCCTGTTCAGGAAACAGATGTGTTCACAAATCCTAACAGTTAAATAAGGCAACTATTACAGCCAGGGAGCAAAGAGGCTAAGGGAGCCGTAGGGACATGGTTGAAGAGATGCCGCTTCTGCTGCAACCAGAGAATGTGCCAGAAGGAAAAGGGCGCAGGCGAGGACGCTGGGCTGAGAATGTCTAGCTAGAGTGCTGGCCGCGCGCAGTCCCTGTGTGGGCAGCGGGGTAGGAGTCTGTTCTAGACCGGCAGGGTTCTGCCAGGACGTTCGGGGTTCGAACTGGGAAGACAGAGCTCAGGATGAAGTACTAAGACTGAAACACAGCATGAAGTCCCTAGATTTGCTTCGGGACTTTCTCATCCCAAAACAAAGGGTCATTTAAAATATGGCCCTAATCTACTTCCCCAGTTTCTTCCATGATTTGCCCTACTAAGCCGTAAATAGTATTTAGTATTCCCTGCGGTGCTTTCCCATCTCCTAAGCTCTATCCCTCTTGCAAGCCCCTTCTCAGACCCTCTGATCTCTCCTCAAACACTTTCCAGCTCCTGCTCAGACAGGAGGCCCGCCTTTCTTTTGCTGTCCTGTTGGACTATGTTCATGGTTCGCTAATGGATCTTTCCATAACTCTACACTGTAAGGACTATTTTTTTGGCTGTCTCTTCTTTCTGCTGTCTACAAGTTTCCTGAGGGCTGATTTGCTTCTTTTTCATCCTTGGATTTTTTACTGAGTTTCAGATGGTACCTGGGCAGGAGTGCAGCCTCAGAACTTTCATATGGGCCTGAAACAGGGTGTCTGGAGAGTGTCAGAAGAGGTGCTGAGCAGGGGCTTTTGGGCTCCTACAAACAGTGCGTTTTTCTTTTCCTGGTCCAAGGGCTGAGTACATGGGTTATGTTCTGCCTGTGAAAATTTATCAAAATGTACAGTTGTGATTTGGGGCCTTCTCTGTACATATTATACTTTATAAAAACTTCTAGAAAGGATGAATATTGGGGCTGCAGAAATTGGTACGATCACTTCTCTGAAGGGAATCAAAATGAAACATCTGACCTCATGGTTCCATATGTGATCATCTATTCTATCAGTACAGACATGGCGTATGTGCAAAGATTTGCATTCAGGGATGTTCAGTGCAGTTTTGCTAAAAACTGTACAAGAAAACAGACTAAATGTTCATCTATAAGGGACTGGTTAGGCGTATTACAATCTAGCCATACGACCAAATGAGGTTAAAAACTGACACGGACGATCTCCTCCAGGATTTGTTGCTAAGAAGAGCAGAGTTAGAGCAGTATAAAGTTTGCGCCGATGTATGTTTTAAACGTACACACACATCTCAGGCATATGACTCCATTTCCAGCTCTCACCTGTCTGTGACTACCTGACAGGCCCCGAGTGAGGACATCAGCCCGATCAGCCCACCACAGTGAGAGGTAATAATAAATGCTTGCTGGGAGCCACACATTTGGTTTGAGGTGCTCTGTTACCCAGGAACTCATAACCACAAAACACAGCACCAGCAAACTGTTGACATTTTCTCCAGTTCACATCCTGGGCAGCTTATCCCCCTGTACCCTGTGTGTATCTGTACCAAGTGTGAATACGCCACATGCATGAAAGCACAGTGTGTGTGTTTGTGCCTTGTGTGTGGATGTGCAGTGTCTGTCTGTGCCATGTGTGTGAGTGGACAAGTGCTTGTGCTGTACAGTACATCTGTACCCTTGCCCGGGACATCCTGTCATCTCTTCTGTGCCTGGATAGTCCCTGCTTGCCTTCACAAGTCAGCTCAGCCTCTCCCACCCCGCAGGCTAGGCCGTGTTCCAGGCACCTGTGCACACCTGCCTGGATATAAATTTTCAACTGGGACAGAACATTTGCTGAGTGGAGTGGAAGGAAAGCAAATTCTGTTTATTTTGTGATCCCATTTAGCAGAGGTCTGTCTCCCTGTCCCCAAACTGAGGTTGAAATCTGGTTCTTGCACAGCAATAACTCACTTTGAGGTAGACAGTCGACCCCTTCCCAGAACTGTAATTATGGTACATGGTATCGACCGATAGTAGAAGATTATATTCAGCTAAGCATTAGGGGACTAAAGAGCAAATTCTTCTGAGGAAAACTTGAGACTGTATTACTCAGAATAAGAAAAACATTTGAGAGCTGAAGATGGCCCTGCTGCCTGTTATCTAGGTAATCAGAGAAGTAACTGAGTAGCCTGAGGCCAAATGATGACCATGGATGTGCTGCCCGGTACCTGGCCATGGGCAGCCTCTGAACCATAAGTTCTGCCATGCTTTGCTGGAACCATTTCCCTGAAGGCACTGTCAGGTGAACTGAAGGGCTGAGAGGGACAAGAAGTCACCAGGTCTAAAGCAGCCCCCAGGGTGGTGGCCCCTGCCCGGACTCACTGGGTATGTGGGCTTGGTGGCAATTTCCAGGAGCTTCTGCTTGGCTCTTCGCTCTGCCTCTCGGGCTTCCTGCAGGTCCTGCTTCAGCTGATCTGCCTCCTTGGCCCTGAAAAGAAAGGATTTGTCAGTTCCCCAGAAGAAGACGGGCAGAGAGAGGTAACCCTCACCCCCGCCCCATCCCAAGCAAAGAGGGAGTTAACCTCAAGGTTAACCTCAGGGATGGCACCTGACAAGGAAACCAAGGACAGTGGGGCAGAGACATTTACGGGAAGTCAGAACTTCCAAAGCCAGAACAATATCCCTGGGCATTAATTTATTTCAACTGGTCAATTTAGACTGGAAGACCGGGGAAGCCAGAGGGGCAAGAGCAAAACAAAAAGCTGTGCAAGCCGACCAGGAACAAGGTGCACAGCCGTAATCCCAGCTCCTCAGGAGTCTGAGGCAGGAGGATCACTTGAGCCCCAGAATTTGGAGCCAGCCTGAGCAACACACTGAGATGCTATTTCATAAAACACAAAACCTCTGCAATAGGTGTGTGGGGTCGGGGGTGGGGGCACAATGTTTTCTCTGCTTGTTCCTGGACAACAGTGGGCTGGGCAAACAAAAGTGCTGGCTTTTTACAGCTCCCAGGTAAAACACCCTCAGACCAAGTGCCTACTCTTCTTGGGCAGAAAGACAAACCTGCCGTTATAGGCAAATGCTTCAGGGTACAGATCTGTGTCCTATGGGACACGGCTGGGAGTGGCATGTAAGGCCTAGCACATGGGCACCTGGCCCAACATCCATCACTCACAGAGGATGTGACCTACACAGAGAAAGAAAGGAGCCTGGCACGGGACAGGCATCAAGGAAATCATATTCTCAAGATGATATGCAAAGAACGGTGAGGAAAACTATAGTAAATCACCTTAGTTGCTAGAAGCCAAATACAAGTGTTCTAAATCAACAGACCCGGATGCTGTATCTGAAGGCTGGAGGACCAGAACAATCCAGAGCCTAGAATATAGTCTCGGAAAAGTACAGACAACAGTTCCATACTTCGACCAGTCATGAGCGGGGACATCCTGGTCACGGAGAGGACCGCAGCTTCCTTCCTTCATCTGCCAGGAAGACTGCAGGCAACTAATTTTCCTTACACGTAAATAATTGCTGTTTTCTTGCATCCCCTCTAAATAAAAAGGGGAAGGGCTGGGGATTTGGCTCAGTAGTTCCACTGCCTGCCTTGCAAGTGTAAGGGCCTGAGTTTGAACCCCAGCTCCAAAAATAAAAATAAAAAGGGAAAGTACTCCATTTTTAAAGTGGAAAAGAACCTCTTTGTATCTTCTTAGCTAAAAGCAATCTGTAAACATGCGTAACAGCTTCGCTGCAAACTGGGCTATGGGAGGCCTGGGGTCACGGCACAGAGGTGAGAGAACTACACTCTGTGTCCTTCCAACAGCTCCAGTCACGAGGGCCCGGCATGGAAGGGACCTCCCGGTCCCAGGCGGCGGAGCAGCAGCCCGAAGCTGGCTGTGTCCAGATGTGCTCAGGGCAGGGTTAGGACTAACAGGCCCTTTTCTAGGCTCCTTCCTGGGCCCAGGAAGCCCCTCACCTTCTCTCTGACTCCTCAGCCATCTTCAGGGCCAGCACCTCAGCCTCTAGCACCTTCTGCTCCATCAGGCGCTTCTCCTCCTCTGTCCGAATGGCTGTGGCTTTGATGCGCTGCATCTCCTGCTCCGCTTCGGCGGCCTTCTGCGCCAGAAGCTTGGCCTCCTCCTCGGTGATCTGGGCCTTTTCCGCTAACAGGTCTGCTGTTTCCTCTGACCGCATCTGGAGGGAAGCATGCTCTTAGCGGTGCCCATGTCCCACCCGGATCTGGAGGGGCTCAGACAAACAGGTTAGCAAGAAGCAGCCTCAGACTCCTCTGGCCTTGTCACTAAGCATCACCTCAGGAACCTCTGGAAACAGAAGACAGTCACATCCCCATCCAAAAGGGACCCTGAGGATCCACCCACGGGGAACCAGAAAGGGGTGAACAACTTTAATTGAGGCTTATGGTTTGCGAGGCAGAAAAATAACATAAACTGTCTTTTCTCTCTCCCCCCACCCCTTTCTTCCTGTATCAGGAATCAAACTCAGGACCTTGCACTTGCCAGGCAGGCATGGTGCCACTAAGCTAAAACCCTAGCCCTCTGTCTTCTCTTTAATTGGGGGTTCAGGGGCTGGGGATTTAGCTTAGTGGTTCCGCCACCTGCCTCACAAGTGCAAGGACCTGAGTTCAATCCCCCAGTACCAAAAAACAAACAAATAAATTGGGGTTCAAAAATGGAGGCGGGTTTGTCACTTGGGGGACATGTGGCAATGGCTGGAACATCACAGAGGATGAGGTGATGTTACTGGCATCTAGCAGGCGAAAGCCAGGACACTGCTAACCATCCTTCAATACCGAGAAAAGTCCCAGATGATCAGCCCCAGACAGTACTGAGCAGTACTGACGCGAGGAGCCCTGTTTTAAAGCAGCCCCAAAGTCAAAGTGGAGTTGGGCTGTTCATGCACCCCACCTAAATCTGCATCCGTCAGCACAGATGTTTCGTGGTGCTGGGGATCAAACCCAGGGCCTCACGTGTAGCAGGCGAGCTCTCTACCACTGAGTCGCACCTCCAGCTCCAGGACTGCTGTTTTTTGTGTGTGGTACTGGGGCTGAAGGCTGGCGCGCTCCACCTCCGAGCTACATCTCCAACTGCTTCTATTCATTTATTCTTTTTTTTGAGACAGGGTCTCACCAAGTGGCCCTAGATGGCCTTGAGCTCATAATCCACCTGCCCCAGCCTCCAACTGAAATAAAGCAAACACTGCTCGTTCACAGAAGTCCCCACACGACCTCGGGGCCCCCGACCCCACAGAAATCACCAGCGCTTCGTTGGCCATCGTTGCTTCTTCTTTCATCTGCAGCAGCCTCCTCTCCAACTCGTCTCTCGTGCGCTCGGCCTCCTCCCGCATCTGCTTCTCTCGAGCCAGGCGCTGCCGCTCCATCTGGGGGTGAAGGAGAGCAGCCCTGCTGCACGCTGCTCCTAGGCCCCTCCCCGAAACCCCGTCTGAGGGGCCTCCCGCCGAAGGCCCTTCCCTTCTCTTTACTTTTGGCAGCTCGGGTCACTCCTACCGCCCACCACCCTGTCTTAAACCAGTCTCTTAAACAGGAGTGGGAAGCTGTGCTCCTTGGAAGAAATTCTAGGAGTGAACAAATACACAAATGAAGAACAAAACACCAAGCTCGGCATCCTCCTGGACAGAAGGGAACGATCCTATGAGGCGTTCGGCAACAGTGACCTTGTGATGCCCCTGTTGGTTGGGAAACCTCACACAGCTTCGTCCTGTGGCCCGCGGGTCACAATGCAGGTTCCTCCTCCCTGAGCTGCAGCACGCAGGCAGCTCTCTCATCTGGTCAGAGGAGATGCCTCATCATTTCTAATCCACACAGACCCTTCAAACACCTCCGATCTCATCCACAATAGCTCCATGCCCATCTCTACCCATGGAGAAGATGGAACCATGTGTGAGGTATCAGTGGCTCCCACAGTTTTTCACAGGGGAAGCTGCAACAGCCACAGCACAGCCGCACAGGGCCCCCGCAGAGGCAACTCCAGAGCCAGGCAGGGAACACAGCCCCCATCCTTAAGGCAACAGTACACAGCCTCGCTGCCATGTCCCTGCTGCCTCCCCTGCCTTCCCGATCACCTGCCGAGCTGAATATGGGGACCGCACCTAGGACAGCGCCAGCCTCTGTGATCCCAGAGTACTAAGTGAGCTCAGAAAGCAGAAGCCGCAAGTGACCACTGCATTATTTTCTGCCTTCAGTAATGAAAGCACATTTAATGACTTCCTTTTTGCTTTAATCTTATCACAAACTCTAGTAAATTTCTAAGACCGCTGCTTTTTCTAAATATGAAGCAAAAAAAAAAAAAATGTATCGAACATTAAAGAATAATGCACAGACAAGCAATAAAATACTCTTAAATTCTCTGCTTTTCCTCTTGCAGGTTAATGAAAAGCTTGGCCAATTTGTTCCCTAATTTCCATCATATTATTTCCATTTCTATTATTCACCTCTTGAAAAAAGCCCCAGGCAGCACCCTTCAGTTCCCAGCACTACACTTTCCTAGACCTGTTCCCACTAATAAAAGACTTCCCTATCTGCAAAGCAGTTTATCACTTCTAACAAGAACGACCCAGGCTTCAGGCACAACAGGTCTTCTGATGGAGACAAGGAGGTATCATTAGCGCCACTTGATGGATGAGAAAATCTGAGACCCACACCCAGTGTCAGATCAGCTCCAAGGTCACTGTGCTAATGGGCCATGAAGCCCTTGACCTCTAGCTGCTCACAGGCCATGGGGGTGTCTCTTGCCCTAAAGCAGTGAGTGCAGGCTGGGAGGGTATTCAGCTATTCTTTGCCCGGGCCCAGAGGCCTGCGTGCTCCTTGACGATTTCAGACCTCTCGCTTCTAAGCTTTGCTCTACTGAGAAAGATGTCCAAGTAAGCCTTTTTCAATTTGTCACTACGAACCTATACTGGCTCACTAGCATTTCTGCTTCCAATAAAACCAATCCCATCAACCCAAAGCACCTCAAAGAGCACATCAATGGCCCACTGTCCCAGAAAGCAAGGAGATGGACAGCTGATGGCTGACTAGATCAAACCCGGCATCTCACTCTAAATCCCGGGGTGGGAAGTCAGCCTCTCTGGGGTAGCCAAATCAGACAGCAGCACACAAACTAATTATTACACCTCTGAGCTAGCAAGTCTTGAGGGCAGCCGACCGCAGCTGCCGTGACTCTATCTAGCAGTTCAGCCAAAAGCACGATTGATATTCTTAGCAGTGAGGCCCAAATTAGGTGTATGGATTTTGGGGAGTACGGCAGGTCTGTGAGTAGAAAACAATGATGCAGCCCTTCCAGTGTGCTGATAGGTGCTCCTGGCACCTCCCGTCGCGTGGTGTGTGCCGAACCTGACCCGCAGTGAGGAAGCGCAGCCTGAGTCTAATTAGCATTCCAGCAGCAAGCCCTGAAATGCCGCCATCTACTCCACCACCATCTAATTAGAAAAGGAGCCATGCAAAAAGAAAGACAGCTAGTAGCTGGAGGGACGAAAGCACTTGGCCACCATATTCCAAACTTGTGTTAATCACACTTAATTTCACTTAAGTTTACAAATGACTAGAGATGTTTCTTGTAGATATGCTTTTAGAATTTCTTGCTCATTTTCAAGCTAACTTGCCACCAGCTGGCTATCAGCTAATAAAGATCCAACAGGATAAAATAAGAGCCGGCACAGCCATGGTGAAAGGATTCCTACTGGCCCACAACCACTCTTACCTCCTAAGCCACAAGTGACCAAGCAGGGGCATCTCAGTTAAAACAAGGCCTTGCTTACCTGCTTTCTAGCCTTCTCTTCCCTGGCCTGGGCTTTCATCTGCTGAACTTCCAAAGAATCAGCTTTCCTTCGCCTCATAAATAGGTCATGGTTCCCAATACAAAGCTGGAGAATCTATGGCCACAGAAACAAGAAAAATGTTAAACCCACAAATACGCTTTGCTGTCCCTCAGTCTGACCCACGCTACAGCATCTTAGGCTCTGCTGGGGAACAGAAAAGCCGAGGAAGGAATGGAAGTAAAATATGAAAGCTCTACTGACAGCCTCTAGTGCTCTGAGCTCTGGAGACGCGCAAAATGAAGAGGCCGGGGCTGGGGATTTAGCTCAGGGGCTCTGTGCCTGCCTTGCAAGTGCAAGGTCGTGAGCTTGATCACCAGTACCAAAAACAAAAAACACAAAATGAAGAGGCCTCAGATAAGCTAGGAAGTAAAATCCGCCTGTGAAGAGAGGAACAGATACTTTATCATGCCCTTCAGATGCATCATGCCCTCCTAGGTCAAGATGTGCCTCTGCAGATCAGGGAGGACGAGAAAGCGTATTTAGTAACTTGGGCTAGGAAAAACATAAATTGGATCCCTCTCTCACACCATACACGAAAATGGACTCCAGAAGAATTAAAGATTTAAAAACAAAGATGAAGCCCTCGAAACTTTTAATAGAGAATACAGAAGAATATCTTTCTAACTGTAAGAAAAGGAAAAATACTAAGACACAAAAAGCACAAATGGTTAAGGAAAAGATTCTGATATTTTTTCACAACAAAATTTTAAAAAATTTCTTTGCAGGCCAGTGATGTAGCTCAGTAGCGCACCGTGCCTGCCTGGCAAGTACAAGGTCCTAAGTTCAATCCCAGATACAGAAAAAAAAAATGTTTCTCATGATATTATTAAAGAAAAGGAAAAACAAATTGTACATTGGGAGAAGACACAACCAATACAAAAAATAAATTAAAAATCTAAGAGCATAACAGTCAAAAGACCACTGAAACAAATATCTAACAGACAGGAAATAAGATTGGCCAATAAATATATTTAAAGATGTTCAAATTATCAGGTAAAATTGCTCAGACCTTTAATCCCAGATATTCAGGAAGCTGAGGCAGAGGATCACAAGTTAGGTTAGCAT